GTTAATGGTATCCCGGATGGTATCATTGCGTTTCCCGGGGCCCCCTCGTAGTACGTCAGGAAGGAACTCGTGGTGTTTTTTAATCGGTAAAAATCCGACACTCCCCCGTCTTTTCCAGGAGGCGGAGGGTCTTCCCTTCAACTAGGGGGCTGCTGGAACTTGGTCCCGGCAGTAGATTTCCACCACGTAAAAAAAAAAAAAGTATTCGGGCAGAGAGAGGAATATAATTCGATAGTTGAAAAAGATTGTAGGCGAAATAATAGTAAAAACTTTAATATAATAATAATAAATATAATTATATTTATTATTATTATATTTTTAATAATAACTCAAGAAGTACACATTAAATATTACTAATTTTTTTATATTAAATAATTTTTATATTAAAATTTATTTAATATATTAAAAATTAGTATTTTATATATTAAACACTCTAACTTTTTATATTAAGTAATACCAATTTTTATAGACATTGTAAAATATTATGTACTTGTATATATGTATTGTATATATGTATATCAAAAATATATACTGTAATATAATATTAATTGTATAATATTAATTGCGTAAATGTAATCGGATGTGTATAATAAGACGGAAATCATGACGCGTTTAGTAAACGGTTTACTTTTTAAAACTTTAGTAATTTTTATAATTTATTAAAAGATTGTTAATAAATTCGGGAGATTTTTCATTCTAAATTTCGTATTAGAAATTATCACTATTAGTACAAGTAATATAATTTATTGAATAGAAATGTGAAAAGGTTCGATGTTAAGACAATGATCATATATTAAATCGTAAAAAGTTAATGCAAACATCGTGTTATTTTCACGTTTATAGACGCGATCGCTGCCTCGATGATAGGGCCTTATCGCTGTCCCTCGCGTCAGGTGGACGCTAGCAAATGCATGGTTTGTTCCGATGGAGAGTCGTAACGATCTTTATCGTAGAGTTATTTCTCGTCGGTTTCTATAAGACCCATCTGCGGCGCCTAGTTTGGTGCCTCGTTGAATATACAGGTTTCCGTTGCAGGGCCGAAATTAATTTCGAGTTTTTTTCACGGTTCCCGGAAGCAGTGGTTTCGGTAATAAGCTAACGACGACTACTACGTAATTTTTAAGTATAATAAAGTCAAATCACGAAATCGAACATATTCTGAGAGAAGAGCCTTTATTCTTCTTATTAAATATCCTTCCATTACGCTTACGAAGCTAAGCGTTTAAGACATTGCGTCGCGTGGTGTGTATGTCTGCGGATCGACATCCACCACCCTGAAAAAGTTAGGCGATTAGGACGTCGCGTCGCGAGGTGCGTGTGTCTGCGGATCGACACCCACCACCCCCGGCGGTAGTTAGGCGATTGTAGGGCGTAGCGTAGCGAGGTGCGTGTGTCTGCGGATCGACACCCACCACCCCCCCCGGCGGTAGTTAGGCGATTGTAGGGCGTAGCGTAGCGAGGTGCGTGTGTCTGCGGATCGACACCCACCCAACCCTGCGAGATTACGGGTGGATTATAGGGCGTAGAGTCGCGCGGTGCCTGTGTCTGCGGATCGACACCCACCCAACCCTGCGAGATTACGGGTGGATTATAGGGCGTTGAGCCGCGCGGTGCGTGTGTCTGCGGATCGACACCCACCCAACCCTGCGAGATCACGGGTGGATTATAGGGCGTAGAGCCGCGCGGTGCGTGTGTCTGCGGATCGACACCCACCACCCTTAGAAAGTTAGATCAGGGTCGCTCGTGGTGGTTTTAGTCGGTAGGCTATGGGCGCGCGATGCCACGCTGAGGGAGGCTCAGGGGATTTCGGTCCTCTGAAGCGCCCCTCGTAACGGTGGTACGCGTGCGCGTAGAATCCGACACTCCCCCTCCCTACCCCAGGGCGGGGGAGTCTTTCGAAGATTTCCACCACGTAAAAAAAAAAAAAAAAAAAAAAGGTAGAGAATAATTTTTAATTCCTTTCAGCAATTACATTTCTATTAAGCGAGAAAGGTCAAGAAACATTTCGACTATATTGCAACAACGTCGTAAAATTAATGCAATATAGCCGAAATGGCTTCTTGATTTTTCTTTGCATTGCCACGAGTCTCAATGTGGCTCGAGACTCCTATTTGACCCGAAGGTGGAGGTGGATTTTGCGGCCAGAGCAGCCTGAAAGAAAGTGGTGAGTGTAATTGATTTTTACGTACTATGTTACTTATGTCCAAAAATTTTCTATCTTTTCTGTCTTTACTTAATCGAATCGTTTATTTGAATATTTTAGAAAATAACGACGCTGAACGTGACATCGGAGCAGCGAGGGAATCCTGCGTAGCTGACATTCCGAGCAGCCTGAGAGGAGGAGGAGGCCTAGGATAGGCATCGGGCATCAACGTACCAACACTTCTGGTAAGTGTTATTTTTTTATTTTTTCTAAAAATATTATAGAATTCCTTTTTTCGTTTATCTTTATTTAGTTGCTACATTATAGCGTGTTTCAAAATATAAATTAGTAAAAAAAAATAATTTGAAAAATTTGATTCAAGTTGATTCTAACGTAGAGATTTTTTTTGGAGAAGTAATTTAAGAAAACATTAATCTGAATAATGAATAAGATGTTCGATGCGCGTGACAATTATTTAATCGATTCGATTATTTTTATGTTACAGAAAATGTCCACGCTGGAAGGACCATCAGCTTCGCATCGAGGGAACACGATGGACATCTCGAGCAGCCTGAGAGGAGGTGGAGGCCTAGGAGAGGCATCGGGCATCGGCGTACTTAACACTTCTGGTAAGTGTTATTTTTTATTTTTTCTAAAGATATAGAATCTTTTTTTTGTTTGTTTTTATTTAGTTGCTACATTAAACCGTGTTTCGGAATATAAATTATTAAAAAAAAATAAATCGAAAAATTTGATTCAAGTTGATTCTAACGTAGACTTTTTTCGAAGAAGTAATTTAGGAAAACATTAATCGTAATAACGAATAAGATGTTCGATGTGCGTGACAATTATTTAGTCAATTCGATTATTTTTACGTTACAGAAAATATCCACGCGGGAAGGAGTATCTTCGCATCGAGGAAAC